AGTACTGTAATACTCTTGGAGAATATTCTCTCAAACAACTTCATTCATTAATAAAAGACCTAGGCCACCACTGCCATTCCTGAGAGTGGAGTAGGTCACTCAGACCGAACCACTATAAATCTCTGTGTTATTTTTTTATTTATTACTCATTGACTGCATCCAGTTGATATTCTTGATTGTTGATTTTGCACAATACCGATTTGTGCATCATCAAATTTCGTTATTTTAATAACTATCAATAACCACCTTATTTAATAGTTGTCATGTTAGAATAATAGGATCCACCAACTCTATTTCTTGTTTTATAATTAATTGGTAACACCACGTGACATTAATGACATATTGTTACCGTTACACTCAATATTTACTCATAAAGTAGGGGGTCACCCAAACATGACTTATATGATAGGCCGGTCTGACGGATTCACTAATTTATTATCAAAATTCGTTAAGATCAGACGCAAACCTGTTAATATTATTTTTATTTGTGTTGGATAACCGAATTATGTTGCATTTAGCTAAACTTACGCGTTATTGTAATTTGTGTTGTATTCATGTCGGTATTTTTAAATAACAAATGTATATTTATAGGTCATATCAATTTTAAAAATCGTGTCATGCTAATGGGTTAAATTAAATTAGAGAGCGAAAAAGATAACTGGCCTCCTTGGTTCGTGGGAAAGCGTTGTCTACCGTTGGTTGGATGTTAGTAGCGTACGGATTCAAGAACAGTAGAACACTGCTCAAGGTGAGCTAAAGTAATGTTTCATTTGGTACAATCATAATATTTTTATACAGCAATTAATAAAATAAATTTGAGAATATAATATAATATACATTATTGTGCAACAAATAAAATAGCAATCGTTGAATTGATAAAGAATGTTGAGATACAGGACTAATAATCGAGTCAAGTTTGTCGAACTTATTTTTTTTAAATTAATTTAAAAAATTATTTAAACTCGACTCATTTAAAAAATGTGTCGAGTCTGAGTTGAGTCTAAAACGAGTCAAATCTGAATAACTCAACTATTTAAAAAATAAAAGAATCGAGTATTTTAGACACGTTTTTTAAACGAATTTGAAAAATTATTCAAACTTGAATAATTCAATTTAATTATTTGGCTCTACTTCTCAACTTAAATATAGGAGCAAAGAAGACTGGCATGATGATTGGCTTCTTTTTCACCTCCCCTCTTAAGGCAAGGTTCGAGTCTCACCCTACCGTCCATGTACATTATACTCTATCCGAAAATAAAAAATAAAATAAAAAATTAAACATCACTCTCTCTCTCTCTCTCTCTCCTTTCTTGTACAAGTTTCTGTCCCTTTCCCTCTCATCAATTATTGAACCTTAAGCTAAAAAACTTAGACTTAGGATTTTACATATAAACTTCTAAGTGAATCCAAAAAGAAGGCCCTTGCATTACCTCTTACTATTGTGTTGTTGGGAAGCTTATGATTGCATGAATAAGAAAGATGTCGCGTGTGGATTTTATTCTTTCTCCACAACATCTTATCAAGAAACGAATATATTCTTTGTACACTATATTTTGTACCTAAAGTAATTATATATATATATATATATATATGTATAATTATTATGTGACCCATATTCAGAAGATGATAATATGAGAGTTCAACCTTGAGTGGCTAATTGGTCAATAGATTTGACCATATCCATAAAAGAAAGGGGGGCTAAGGGCTTATCACCTGGGCCGGCTCTAACGGGCATTTTCAATTCGGGTCAACTTGATGGGAGTGCTTCTGTGGGGACCTTAAACAAGCTAGCCCATCGGGTCGAGACAACCTAAACATACAACTCATTATTTATTTTTCTATTCAAGATAATGGATCGTCAATAAGTCATCACGTGACGGGTTTGGACCGGATTAGGATCACATTGGCTACCACTTTCAAAATAGGGTTTTTTGGAAGCTGATACACTTAATTAGACTTATTTGACAAAAAATAAATTGAACAAAATATTTTAGAAAAAAATACATACCTAAGTTACAAAGACATGAATGCCCTTTTTAAGGTCATTTAATTCAAAATCTCTTATTTTTAATACACTCTATTTATGTGAATTTTTTAATACATATAAATACGTATTTAATACACTTTGGTTCATGTGTATTTGTTAATATATATATATACACACACACACACTTGTTGTTAAATCTCTTATCTAAAATTTGAATTATCTTTAATGCACCTTAATTTATGAATTTTTTTTGAAAAATGATTTTGTTTTCAAATTATATTTAATGCACCTTAATTCAAGCGTTTTTTTTTTTGAAAATTGTTTTTATTTTCAAATTAATGTAATATCTGAATAATGTAATAGTATAAAATTCTTGGGATTCAGAATTTATCGTGAATTTCAACTAAATTCGTATGCTACCCCCAAAATTACAACACTGGTGGGCCCTCCTATAATCGGTCCGAAAAATCAGTAGCTTCTTATGATAGTTTTTTCTGCATAATTTGGATTTTATTGAGTTGTTAGGGGCACTTGAAAGATAAGAACAAAGTAGGAGGGTCAGATTGAGATAAGGGACAGTACCACAGGACCAATTCAATTTGACATGACACCCACACAATTTTTGGACACTGTTTGGTTACGAGCTTGAGGTTGTACCAGTTTAATCTCCTAGAAGTTTGGACAAAAATGTTTGGTAAGACCAAGATATTTAGTGAGTGATTCTTATTGAAGAGTACAAATAGAATAGAGATTAGTTATAATTTATTTTAAGTTCAAATTACAACTTAAAAAGGTTCTAGTATAACTCAATGAGATTGAGTAAGTTAAGATAGAAAACATTGAGATCGTTTCCACAATGTTAAGATCACTGTTTCTAAATAACTTTATTTTATCTTAAACTTGTCAGATTGAGTTATCATCTCACTCTCGATATTTTTTTGATTTCGTACTCTTGCCCATACATTTTTTTTATGAAAGGTAAGAGGATTATCCACTAGGGTTGTTTCCAACTCATCTAGATTTTATCAGTAAAAGCTTCCATCTAAGAGCAAACAAAGGAAGGAACAAACAAGTCCTTGTGTGATGTTGAACTGGCGCAAGTTTGTCCAGACATTTGGGTTGGAAGAAGAGACAAAATTGTCCCTTATAGATTTTTTTATTTTTGTTGTGTCAACTATTCTCTTGAGTTTAGAAATTGGTCACTAGAGTTTGAGTGAGTTTAAAAAATGTTTCTTGAAGAATAAAAGTGATTGATTCTTAAAGGGTATAAAAAGTGTTGAGTCTGATACTTTTGAATTATTAAAGGTCAGACTCAATCGCTGAACTATCACTAAAAGTTATACCTTGAGACAAAACAATGATAGCAATGTGTGAAAAATTTAGATGTGCGTTGGTAGGACCATTTCTAGTGGGCATGACATGCGACCATGGCTGTTGTTCATGCACCGTTTTGAGCCATTGTCGGTTTCGAAAGTAATTTTTGACACCACTTGAATCTAAGTTTGGTGGATTGGGATTCGATCCGATCCAATCAATTTGAATTTGTAATTTTTTTTTTTTAATACACGACAAGGTGGTTTTGGTTTTTCACTAGAGATAACTCAGGACGAGTTCTTTTTGATATCTGCTTTAGGGCTTCGACGATCCAATAGAAGAGTTCAGGGAGTAATAAGCAGGGCTCGCTGAAAGCTATGGGGCCTTAATCTGTCAAGATGTTTTAGTTGATTTGAGCTAGGCTTTGGAAATAACGGGCTGGCCTTTTTAGACCCCGGGTCAATGTTGAGCACTATCTGGTTTGGGTCTTACTGAAAGGGAATCATCCGTTTATCGCTATTATTGGACTCGAATGCAATGACCCAACAAACTCAAACACCCATTTATCATACGAACATAAATGGTAAGCCCAAACCATCTACTAAACTCCAAGAAATAATACAAACGAGCGGTAAATTGACAATTTTTTGGATCACAATATGAAGAATTTATATCTCATAAATACTTTAATTCTAACATGAATAGTTTGTAATTGACCAAATTAGGAAGAAAGTTAATCGATGTGCGTGCAAATTGTCATTTGATCCTTTCGATCGATACTTGAAATTGGAACCATACTTTAAGGGTATAAATTGTAAATCGCAAAAAAATTTAAGAAATTTATTTAATGTATAATTTAATAGAGTTAACTATTTATTTAGTCATTGAATTATATCATTTGTATCAATGAGACATCTAAACTATATCATTTATGTCGATGTGACCTTTTTTATTGCAATTTATAGTTAAGTTTGACGAAATTTCTCACATATACATTATATATATGAGTCGGAGATTATATAATTAATATATAAATAAATCGCGTTATTTATTTTTTTGATTACCTTCGCTTATACTGTATTCGTTTATTAATTGTGTTGTATCAGATTCACCCATTTTCTAAAATGAATCAATTAAAGAAGACCCACCCCTACATTAAACGTACGCAAATGATCAAAATATTGTTTTGATCACCTGAGAAACATAAACGTTTTGAAAATAGAATAAAAAAAATAAAAATTTTAAGAATTATTTTTTTAAAACATTGGTCGAAATATACCAAATGATCTTAAAACATTCCAAAATATTTCAAAATATTATGAAATACCTTGAAATATTAGAATTTTGATTTCATCTTTAATTTATTTTAATCTCTTTAAAAATAAAAACATTTTGAACAGTTAGAAAAGTAATTGTAATAATTGAATATACGACATGTTTTTGACCAGAAACAAAAAAAAAAAAAAAAAAAAAAAGTGGGGCGGGGGTTTCAAATATGTAGTAAAGTACACATTTTCAAAAAAGCTATAGGGAATGAAAGTATAATTTAATAAAAAAAGAAAAAAGAAAAAAGGGGGAGAGTCGTCAAATGAAGCTTTTAGCCGCCATTAATCTTCCCCTTCTCTCTCATCCCATGTATGCACATATACACAGCTATAATAGTAACTTAGTTTGTGCCAGAATCAGACGATACACGACCATGGCGGCCTCAACCTCTGCTTACCAGAAGCTCCTAAGCGTTGGTACTAAGATCGTCGCCGTCGGCCGCAACTACGCCGCTCACGCCAAGGAACTCGGCAACGCCGTCCCCAAGGTCCTCTCTCTCTCTCTCTGTGTGTGTGTGTTAATCCAAAGCCTTGGAAATCCATCCTAAATTGCTTATCGTGATCAGCTGCGTTAAATCCCCAATTAGTCGGTTTTCATGTGTTATTTCGCACGCACATACACATATATGCGTATCTTGTGTTGGAATTTTATGTACATTTGTTGTTTCAGGAACCGGTGTTGTTTCTGAAGCCGACGTCGTCGTATTTGGAAAATGGAGGCACGATCGAAATTCCGCATCCCTTGGAATCGCTCGATCATGAGGTGGAGCTTGCCGTTGTGATCGGTCAAAAAGCTCGCGATGTTCCTGAGGCCACTGCTATGGATTATGTTGGAGGTTTGGTTTAGACATTGCTATAATTGCACCTCTAGAATGATCGCTTTTGATCTCGGAATTCATGTTATATTTCGTGTTTCAGGTTATGCACTTGCACTGGATATGACTGCAAGGGAAATCCAGTCTTCTGCCAAGGTGCAAACTTTCTTTGGCTTTTATCCCAATTTAATTTGTGGAATCTTATTCAAATAAATCTCCTTTAATCAGCCTGTAGTCATTGAAACAAGGTAGATTGGTAGAACTGTCGAAGTATCAATCATTAGTGTGTGAAAAGTTTTGAAAAATTGCGTTAACGTCCACAGTTTATCAGTTCAATGACTATGAATGATTCAATTGCCTTTTGGGTTGGGATATATCCATCCGGATTGTGAAATACACAATTTCTTATTGTTTGAAATGTTGTTATCTTGTTCAATGCAACGGTTGTCAAATTATTACGGTTTTAACAGTGATGTTTCCCCTTCTATATCCCAGTCTGCAGGTCTTCCATGGACTGTAGCTAAAGGACAGGATACCTTCACACCAATCAGTTCTGTTGTAAGGATTGAACTGCAAATTATTTTGTCCTCTATTTTTGCTGAGATTATTTACATTCAGATTTACTCTTAGGAGTCAAGTAGAAATCAAGTTAAGAGTGAAGGGTACATTTGGTGCACTTAGGGGCCATAATTTATGGCCAATAAATATGGAGGTGGAGTTGGTAGGAGTTGTTTAACTGACCTTACTATTTATATGGCTATGCTTTAATATGGATGGTTTCAGTGGATTCGATTGTGAGAGCAATGGTAATAGTGCAAAGGTTGGGTCAATACTCAATTCATAGTAATCTCGATTTAGGGGACCCAAACTGGATAAGGACCCTTTCATATGAATCGACTGGGTATGCGGCAGGAAATGAGGACAATGCTATCAGTTACTGAGGCTTACTGTCAGGGTTCTATTACGTATTTATTTGGCTCATTCTACTTGTGGAAATGAAGATGGTTCTTTAGGTAAGTTATACCTAAGGTATGATTATGAAATTTGCTGGAACAAATAGATCCCGGTTCGTTAGGTTGAGGGATATGAACAAATAACAACTTGAATATATATATTTTTTATGTACATCCTCTTTTCATCTGTGAGTATGCTGTCTTTTATGTACTCTCCTAACATGCCATCTTCCATCCTGAAGCTGTCCCCGGCGATGGTGCCAGACCCTCACAACTTGGAATTGTGGTTAAAGGTGTTAATTTTTCAATCTTTATCTTCCTTCTTTTGCTTTATAATCATCTTAATGCTTGTATTTTGGAGCTGATCTTTCAGGGTATCTATGATTTCACAGGTGGATGGAGAAATTCGGCAACAAGGGCCAACCTGTGACATGATTTTTAAGATCCCATTTCTTATCAGCCACATAAGTTCTATCATGACGCTTCTTGAAGGAGATGTTATTCTAACAGGTAATGTGTTACTTCCCCTGCTCCTTTTGTTGAAGTTTCAGTAGTTCTGATCGTTTTGCAAATATTATTTCCCTAGAAAAACTTCAGCACATCGAATAAAAATGTCTCCGTCGGCTGGTGGTGGTCATGTAAATATTGAAGTCTGTTAGTTTCTTTTGTGTAGATCTGTGATGATTCTTCTATTATTCCTGACATTTCAAGATTTGTTTGTTCTACTTGACACTTGATCAACAGAAGTTCTCATTTTTCAAACCGCAAATCATCAATCCCTGTAATACTATGCCATAATTATTGTGTTAACACCATTTTAAAATGGCAAAATTGTACGGCTAACGGCTGTTTAAATCAAATCATTTCCGGTCAGTAGCCAAGCACTTATTATTCTGCTATTCCACTTTTGCTAATCGTAAAGGGTATTTCTCTTGAGAAGACCATGGGCCAAAATATTTGGTGCAAATGGTTACCTTAACTCTATTAACTCAAAAGGCACAGTACCAGTGTATGTAATGGCAGCATTCTTCAGTTTTTAGTTTAAACCCAGCAAAGGCAGAGTGGAATTGGGGTCAATATTGCACAAAGCACTTCCACTACTTTTCAATGCGTTCTGCTGACTTTTCTTTTTGAGCATTTGTTCAGTTGTTCACTCTTACGTCAGTTCTGGTATTGATCTGAGTGTAGAGTTATCCATCCTTCTGGGACCAAAATGAATAGAACTAGAGTCTTGGCTGACCTTGGTATTAACCCTGTTTGTGCAGGCACTCCTCAAGGTGTTGGCCCTGTTAAAACAGGTCAAAAGATAGACGCTGGTATAACAGGTCTCTTGGATGTGCATTTCAATGTTGAAAAACGCCAAAGACCCAAAAGTTGCTGAACTGACCACCTTAACTGCTTTTGTGATATTGTCAAGTGACCTTGCCTAGGACCTCTGGGTCCTACTTCTAGTCGACTCTCTGACATATTTCATCAAGCTGTCGCTCTTAGGTGCTCCAAATGAAGGTTTAATTGTTATTGTTTCTGACCTTGAACCATTCTTGTGGAGTGAAAATAAGTGGAATAATGAAAAACTCTGAAGAGCCTTGTATCTGAATCATTTACTGATCTTGAGAGAGTTTGTTGAGTGGTTAGTTAACAGGGTGATCTCAATTCTATCCAAAATGGGTATAAGACATACCAATAACTTACTTTCTTTGACCTGGTTATGGATGGAGAGTCTTGTGCACGGGATGCAATCCATATAGTTTAAACTATTTCTTCATTCCTAGTATTATTATGAAGCTGCCTGATATATTTGTTGTTCAACTACCAAATCATGATTTATTAGGAGCTCCCAACGCGAGGAACACATTGAGGATACAGGGGGTCAGTTACACGAAATCCAAAATGCTATGACAAATACATAATCTATCTCAAATACCAAACAAACAACAGATAGAGTTTTATTCAACATGCATAAGAGTACGGGGTAAATTTTGGAAAACTTTGTAACTTCTTGTTCATCAATGGCATCATGCCACTCATTATTTGCTGAGAATTGTTACAGTTCGTTGTCGATCATAATACAGCTACATGTGTAACAATCACCTCAAAGAAACGGATATGAAGAGAGGGAAAATTCAGAACTTCTGGATAAAGTCATAAATGTGCTTGTTGATCTCGTCAGGCTTCTCTTGATTGATGAAGTGGGCAGCTCCTTCGATTACTATGGCTTCCTGCAACAATGGCACATCTTTCTGGAACCTACCGTTGTGTATATATTCCTTCATGCCTGTCATATGATAGGTCAAGTCTAACTCCCCCACAATAAACTTAGTTGGTACTTTCACTTGAGCTCCAGTCCAGGGTGCAGTGAGTTCCCAGTTTCTGCAGTTAATAGATGAAGCAATTGACACTTATTTCACAAGGAAAAAGAGAGAAGAAATTGAACTTAAAAGTATACAAACGATTACAAGCAGATGGTCTCCATCGGAATGACGTGCAAAACTGAATTACAATAAACACTTAAAAGTTTTCTGGTACACAGAAAACACAGGCATGAGATCAAACTTCAACTTAGAAATAAAAGAATGCAGAGATCAATATCAAGCATTCACACAAAATTAAATACATGCCACAGGGATCCTTTGTTGTATCCTAATGGCGAAACAACTAAGTAATTCATTAGCAGATGGTAATTGGAGATTTCACAGACCCTATGCTGAATCGCTGAGTATGATCCGGCAAACTTTACTTTTCCCTCATGTGGCTAAACCTTTTTGTGCTTCGCCTTTCCTCACATCCATAAATAACCGCATGACCCTCATGTAGTTTGTGGACTAAAGTGCACCACTAATTAACTCCGTTAACAGTACGAATAAAATGACCTAACCCCACTCTCTCTCTCTCCATTAGCTCTGCCGCGAACCAATCTGGACACTGCTCTGAGGTTCAAATTCAAGCACCAAAGCTTCCGTGTCTCTAACCATGAAAGACTTCACTTCTTCTTAGATTCCTCCACTGCAACCATGATTGGATCCCATTACCCAACCTCAACTTCCTCAAGGAACCTTCTCAAACCATAACACAAACCTAGCAGAAATATCAAACTTCGAATTTTCTGAGATTATTGGGCTGAAAATACATCTTTTTCCAATAGAACTGCACAAATCTTTTCCACAACAGAGCCATAATCACCATTACACAGAGATCTCACTACCTCCATACTTTCCACCCACTCAAACTTAAATTTTCAATTGAGATTATCTAAATTAACACGCACAGTCACGCACACACTCATTGCTGCTGAAGTACTATTGATGTGAGCAGCGCCCTCTATCAGATGCCGAATTCACCAATCTTCCACCCATCAATGCTCCAAACGCTCCATCTTCAACACTAACTCAACAAATCACAGCCCAGCACCACTGAATTTGTCCATGTTAATAGGGTAAGCCACTAAATATTGAGTGTCGACATTTACTGGAGCTTTGAGTGAAATTCAAAGCCGCAATTCTACTGGAATTAGAACGACTGAGATTCGAAGCCATCACTTGTACTGAAATTTGAAGCAAGTAAAAGTAGGTTAATGGAAGTAGAAACTGAGGTGTGGATTTGATAGTCAGAAACAGTGGTTGGAGGAAGAAGATTGGTTTTTGAAGTGGCTTCTGGGTTCAGATTTTGGTTTCATCCTTGTTTTGCTTTGGATGATCCTATTCCTTCCAGTCTGAATATTGACAAATGGATTTGCTTCAGGTTTTCTTCCACTCCATTCATAGAGAGCTCTAAGACATCTGATGAGATCCTCAATGCTTCCCCAAGCTTTCCCAAAATGGGTATGGACATGAGTGTGCTGTGAATTTGTTTCTTCTGTTTTTGTTTTCTTAGATTATGTTTTTACTTTTTGAATTCATGAGAATTTATGGTGTTGATGAGTGGTGGTGGGGGATAGTGAGTGAAGGGGGGGCGGGGGTTGACGGGCAGTGTTGGTAACTTGGGTAGGCTAAAAGGGGAGATAAACGAGAAGAAGAAGCGAGAGGGTTGTTTTTGTATTCTCAAAGAAGTTCTATAGTATTTCATCATCTAAAAATGTTTTCCTGCACACCAAATCTCCAAACAAGCGCTTGGCTAAAAATTTCAATTTTAAGTAGGACATACAGTCAAATTATGTACTTTTGCTTCACAAACAAGGTGAGTTTATATGGCTATTGGGTTTCAGATATCATAAAAGTTGGAAGTGACTCACATATCAAAAGCTCGGTAGTAGTTCACTCCTCCAGTGAAGCCATTCTTCTCAAATTTGCTGGCATAATAATCAACATCTTCTTCTGACAACCAAGATGGCAAAACAATTGGAGTATTAGGTGAATCACCAACCCACCCTTTACCTCTAGGGAAATAAAATGGACCAGGAGTGCGGTAGGTAAGAAATTTCTTCACAAGTCTTTTAACACCAATCTGGGAAAACTCGGCTTCAATATCTCCAGGTTCCTGCAACATTATTAAACAACCTGTCTGTAAGATAGGTTATCAGTAAGAACTTCATGGCATCTTTTAGCGATTACTGATGAGAAATTTAAGGAGCCGTTGGCTTGCCAATTAAGTTGTGGCTGAGGTATGCACCCAGGGTAGATATAGTTGGATATCAGGAAAATAAGTTTTCTTGATTGTACACAAAATGTAATACATACGGTTAGGATCACTCGAATTATCTATTTGCTTTCTTGATTGGATGCAGGATTCCTGCATGCTGTAGATTATCACAAACTATTGGTATACTTGGTAAAACATAGTTTTATCTACACAATTACAATGAAACAAGTACAAAATATCTGTAAATTTCCCAAATTATGCAGCAATCGAATGTTTATTTCTTCCAAATTACTAATTTGATTTATTAGTTAAAGAAACAACTAAAAGCTATTACAAATTTTCTAAAACATGGCATCAATATCACAACACCAATACACACACACACACATATATATACCTACATAAATATACATGGAGAGAGAAAGAGAGAGTAATTCAATCACAGATTCGACCATGGCTACATGTAGATCAACCAAATGTTCCAAGCTTATCTACTACTCACCAAAGAAGGCGAAGTTTTGGGTGATCATAAATATCTCCAGCAATTCCATCAAGAAGGTGGTACCATGATTTGAATCCATGACGAGTGGGGTTATACTCTATCACTAACAATCAAACCTAAAATTGTCCAATAAGGCTAATTTTCCTCTTCAAAAGTGTCTCAACTTGAATTGGGGATTCAATTTCAAATACAAATTCAAGATCAAATAAAGATGGATTCACGCTAGAACGGAAATCAAAGTAAAAAACGTATGCATATATGTGATGAACAGAGAACCTGAAATCGGCAGATGTAGTAATCATCTCCGTAGAGAGCACGAAACTTATCAACATTGTTCATCGAAGGATTCCTCGGCAAAAAAGGAATACTCAAGTTCACCAGTGCCTTGACTTTATCAGGTCTATACAAGCACAAGTACCAAGCAATGAATGCACCCCAGTCATGACCCACAACAAACACCTTGTCTTCGTTTGGTGCAACAGCATCAAGGAGTCCAACGATGTCACCCACAATGTGGAGAGTGGTGAACTTGGTGTGATCGTTAATGGGTGCACCCGTGGTGTCGCCGTAGCCGCGGAGGTCCGGAGCCACCGCTCGGTAGCCGTGAGCGGCCAAGTAGAGGATCTGGTGGCGCCATGAGTACCAGAGTTCAGGGAAGCCGTGGAGGAATAGGACTAAAGGACCTTGACCCAGTTCAGCTACGTGCATGTTTAGGCCGTTTACAGGAATCATCTTGTGCTGGATCTTCTCCATCTCTCAATCTCTCTCTACTTTCTGTCACAAGTCTACTGTGAAGTGAGAAACAAGAATGAGCGAACGTTATAATTCAAGGGGGTTGCTTAAGTGAAATTTGGAATAATCGAGGTGTTGAACCAATTCTAACCGTTGACTTGGCCAGCCGGACAGTTTCTACCGGTCAAGTGAGGCAAAACAATCGGCTAGGCTTAGCGATAAAAATTAATTACACAGGAGCCCCCCTAAATTTAAGGGCAGTCTCACATAAACACCTAAAACTTTTACAAATTTTACTTTTTCCAACACTTTCGTAGGTGAGACTGATAAGACACAACACCTTTTTTCGCCCAGACTTTGTTCTAAGACGTATTTGCCCTTTTAATTTTTTGTAAAATGTTATTTGAGCTTAATTTAAAATTTAATTTGGTACCTAATCAATTGTAGATGCTCAATTAAAAGTCAATTTCTTTTTTTTGGGTTCAAGGTTAAGGGTGTCCAGACTAGTTTACACGCACTTTAACTAATATCATCCTCGGTCTAGACAAAGGCAAACTATCTATACAGAAACT